TTCAGCCATGGCCAAAATGCTCTTGTGTACCAAATATAAGCGCCACATGTCATTTAGAACCCAAGATAGTAATGTTCAATATTTGCGTCATGTGGCCATATTGGAATTCAAAATGGCTGCCATATGGTTTGTCAGACATTTTGAATTAATTCATTATTAAACTCTGCATGTCGAAATGCTCTTGTGTACTAAATTTCAGCGCCACAGGTCATTTAGAACCGAAGATAGTACTATTCAATGTTTCGTTTATCGTGGCCATATTGGAATTCAAGATGGCGGCCGATCCAGTGGTCAGACCGCTTGGATCCAGCAATTTTCGAACTCAGCATGTCAAAATACCCCTGTATGCAAAATTTCACACTTTCTGCCGGATGTGAACATTTCGACCTATTTTGTTACATATCTGCCCCACTATTTGAGGTTTTTGTTGGTGGCAAATGTGTCAACATAAACTCTTTTTCACATTGTTGTCTCCACTGTGATACTCTAACATTTTCTCAGCATGTGAAATGACCCAGCTGTTACCCGCCAAGTATTGTTAGATATTGCATGCTTGACAAACTGCAGCGCGGATTTACGCGCGAAGCGCGAACAGCGCCACCTGTGGGCGCCACAATGACTTAATCGCTGCCCTCTATGTAAATCTTATTACCAGAATCCTTCTGGGGTACTAGAGAAAGGCCGAGAATCGGTCAATTCAGGCAGTTCTGGCCTTGCAGAAGCGTTTCGACTTTGCACGTAGTGCGAGAATAAATCCAATGGTGGTTATTTCGTACTTTGTTTGGTTTGCGCGTTTCGTTTTTTTCTAAAAAGCGATTTCTAATTTATTTTATTTAACGCCCTGAAGTTATTCTCGTACTATCGCGGCCCATAGATCGCGCCACGAGGCTCTCTTCGAGGCATTTCGCACAGGAATTTCCTGAGACTGCCCCGCGGTCCAGAGTTTCACACGCCCACTAACTATAATTTAGTGTAGCGAAACAGACGTGCCCGAATTAACGTCCGTACCAGTCTAACTCGAATGGTGACGTCGCGTTTTCATTATCGTAGCCATGTTCCTTCTCCTTATGAACCTGTTGACCCAGCGCTCGCATCTCCTCTCAGACTCTAGCCCGTTTCGCCGTTTTGCATATTACCATGCAGCCACTGGCAGGAAGATCAAGCCCGCACGTACAGCACACACTGATCATCAGTTCGTTTAGACTGAGCCACTAGGGCACTAGAGACCGTGTACAGATGGCGTTGCGCAAAAGATGCGTTGTTACCCGACCGCACTATATACTACTACTATAGATACAATAATGTAACCCAAACCCAAGCGGATAGGGTTTGGTTATATCTTGGTTATCCCTTATCCGCTGGGGTGGGTTACATTATTGTATCTACTATACTATACTAGTACTAGTAGTAGTAGTACTACATAAGTTACCAGCATACTAGTACTAGTACTAGTAACTACCAGGACCGCAGGAGCTAATAGTAATAGTAATAATGACTAACGTGTTACTAGTATTAACTAACTTACTAATAATGACAAACCCTAACCATAACCCTAACCTATTAGTATTATATTGATATAATATTATATTTAGATTGATGTAAATGACATTGGTTTTATTGGCCATGCCATACATTGGGCCCATATAATATTGGGAGCCATGTTCTCTATCCTTGAACCACTAGTACTACTAGACTACTATACGACTAGCAAGAAACGCTCTTGCTAGGGTTGAATACCCTAGGCTATACTAGACACAGGCACTTGAAGCGTTTCAATAAATATAATGCTAACTAAATACGAAATCTATTACTACGAAATTGTTAATGTTTCTAGTATAGACCTACTCTCTTTCAAGAAGGTTGCGAGGTGCAAAGGCTATATATAGACTAGGACTCGCTCCCACCTCGATTAGCCATTGAGTGACTAAGCTAAGCCGAGAGGGCGAGAGAGTGCCAGTCTATGGGCTATAGGCGGCGGGCAGGCGGCGCACTGCTTTCCAACTCCCGTACGAGCCTCGCCATTGAATTGCAAAAACGTTGCAGCGTTGGGGCGCGGAAGAGCGCCGGTAGGTGTTTCCTGATTCTGACAGCCGTTTCCATTACTGGGCAAGGTTCGCGAATGTCAGAATTTCGACAGTCTCTGTGATTTCGCGTCACACAGCTCGGTTACGAACAGATTATCCGTTACAGTTTTTATAGCAAGTCAACACTGTTGACGTCCCAAATGTCTACCCTCTGTGTCCCCCACTAAAATTGCGGACTGTTCGCTGGCAGCTATGGATCCGTGCGCCCGCCAATTCATTCGGCGCACGGATCCATAGCTGCCAGCGCTGCATCTGCATACTGTCGTAGGACGTTCCCGCGGTCGCGTGCGCCTTGCCGCGGAACTGCGCGAAAGATCTGCGCTTCAGCGCAATTGGGATCAACATCTCCTTTCGGCAACGCTTCTCTAGTATCCCGTCTCATCTGGATGTTGGCAACCTATAGTTGCTATAATGATATATTGTACTCACTTAAAATTGTACCACACATTAAGGGATTCACTGATAACGTTGTTTCCAACGATAAAAATTGATAGATGTTCGTCATGCAGCCTATAGTATTTTCATGAAAGTCTAATTACAATATTTCATGTGAAATAAACCAAAATATGTACTTTTAGAAACTACCCGATTTTCTTGTGGAGTGCTCAGTTTCTTGATAATGTGTCATATGAAATCACTCGCCTTGGTTAAATTTCAGATCCCAGCAAGCCTAGTAATTTCAGTGCTACTGTGAATGACAGTGAACCCGGGGTAGTCACATTGACCTGGGAAACACCAGAATGTCCGAATGGTGTCATCGAGTACTACTCCATATGCTTGTCAAGTGAGTCTGGACAAGTGTGTGAGAAGGAAACTTCAAGAGCCGATAGCCGTATTAGTCAGATGGTGGCAGAAGGACAACTTGAGTGTATTGAACAACCACATGAAGAGGGAGCTGACACACACAGTCTCAGTGTGGATGAACTAGGAGCTTACACAAATTACACATTTTCTATCAATGCCACTAACGGTGGAGCACCAGGTTTTGACACCAGCAATTCAACGGAATGCGTTGTGGAGACTCCACAAGATGGTAATTACGTTGTTTTTTAACTTGACCTACTGATAGTTTAATATGCTGCTGCTCTAGTGTTAATTGGTATGGATATGTTCACTCGCCCACTAGCTCCTACCAGTGCTCACAGTTGCCATAATGCAGCACCTCATGCATGACCTGCTCTTACCATTTTCCTCATACACCCTTATACTCTTCCTAATGTTACCTCTCATTGTTGTCCATGCTTAATCATTGTTGCACATTTTATTTTACCCACTCATATCCTAATGCACTTCCTCACAATTCCACCGCATACACTCTGCTATGCTTCCTATATTAAATGCACACTATTGTGCATGCTCTCTACTGCCACATGCTCGCACAATACCACTGTACTTCTGGCTCGGGTTCCTCATCAAACTCTCTAATATGCGCTCCCTAACAGGTTGCTGTGCACTGAAACCCATTATCTGCCCCTGTCACGTTTCCCGGTTATTTAATCCCAACTGTTCTTTATGCACTCTTGTCATGCTTTTCCGAACGTTTCTGCTTAAATATCATCTCTCGTGCATCCACCTAGCTCACTCACGTTCGCCTCTCCCACGTTCCTTCTTCTGCACTTCAATATGCTCCCTAGATGTACCTCTCATATACTCGCCCTGCTTTTCATCGTTTGTGTGTCCGCATGCTCCCTTACATCAGCTCCTCGGTATGCACTCGTACTCACGTGTGATAATACTAATGTGTCAGCCAGGGGAAAGGTGGGTTGAATGAACTGTGATAACAACTGTTAATTGATTCCATTATGTAAAACGCTGCCATCTTTTTTATTCCAGTACCTTCGCAGCCTCAATATCTGAACGCAGAGTCTGAGAATTCTACTGCAGTACTTTTGAGCTGGATGGCACCTATGCAGAAAAATGGGATCTTGTTGTACTACAATATAATGTGTAGTTACAATAACGGATCAGAACAATTAATTAATGTAGATTTAAATGCCACTGAGGACTGTGATTTGGAATATTTATTCTCTGATCTCGAACCATGTGTTACATACAGCTTCACTGTTGCTGCAACAACGTGTGCCGGTATTGGAAAGGCAAGTGACACAGTCGTCAGTACCACATATTCAGCAAGTAAGTAGTATGAAGCCTCAGCGACTTACGTGGGTGGGTGGTCTCGCTATCACGATCTAACTCCCCATCTTTCGTTCTCTCTATCGCTAGCTGTCACGCTACCTACCCCCTGTCTCTCTCTCTCTCACTATTGCTGTCTATCTCCCCCCTCTCGCTATCTATGCCTCTCTCCCTCTATCTCTCCATCTCGTTCCTCTATCACATGAGAACTGTTGCTGTGGCTGAGAGGGTCTATGTCCCCCAGGGTACTATCGGAGGGTACTCTGGGTACGGTTCGATATATCGGAACGTACCCTGGTACTATCTAATATGGCGGACCGTACCTCGCCTACTCCACTAACGAGTCTAGGGAGTCACCTACGCCTACTCCCTAACCCTAACCCTAACCATATCAGATAGTTACCAGGGTACGTTCCGATACGTTCCTGTATATCGAACCATACCCAGGGTACCCTCCGATAGTACCCTGGGGGACATAGACCCTATGAGCGTTGCTGTGTGTTATACTAGTATGGCTGAGACATGAAATTAGGAAAGACACGTACATCTCAGCTGTGAATTTCCAACATCTCCTTTGTGCCCCTTCTTGCTTTAGCATTGGCACAGACTAGCTCTACCAGTGTAGCCCCTTCGCTCCCGCTACATGGAGCATTTCCCTGTAGTGGGAGTGAAGGGGTTACACTGGTACTGGTAGAGCTAGGCACTGACAGTCAGGTGAGCACTGTCGCTCTGCAGTACGCGGTAACTCATGTTCATCTCGCTTACCTAGGACATACAAAGAGATTCTTATGATACGACGTCTACAGTAAACATATACAGTCTACAGTAAACATATTATCACTCCCATTTTGTTAACATTTCAGAACCCAGCAAGCCCAGTAATTTCAGTGCTGGTGTGAATGACAATGAACCCGGGGTAGTCACATTGACCTGGGAAACACCGGAATGTCCAAATGGTGACATCCTCTACTACACCACATGCTGGTCAACAAGTGAATTTGGGCCAGTGTGTGAGAGTGAAATTGACTCACAAACTGAAAGTGTCATTGTAACTGGACTCGAAGCTTACACAAATTACACGTTTTCTGTGACGGCCACTAACAACGCAACATCGAGGAACACCAGTGAACCAGCCGAATGCATAGTAGAGACTCCACAAGATAGTAAGTTGTTTCAAGGAAATTTGCCTGCATTGATTTTCTTGTTTTGGCAAGGAATTAATAGAGGTATATTTTGGTGGCTGCCAGAGGTTTCAACTTTAATTCTTTGACTCAACCATGCAAATTGTCTCTGGCTGTGGAGTTTCTTGTCTTCTTCTGATTCATTTTCCCAGCACGCAAAACAACCCAGCTGTGACCCACAGGCTATTGCTAGATAGCATGCTAGTTGTTATATAAGTTGTTGCTAGTGACATTTTGTAACTAAACATTTTGTCAGTTCGAAGTAATAGAACACTATAGCTGGTTGACTGACAATATCATCGTCACTAACGATACCATGCAAATGGTATGTCTGTCAGCCTATAATATTTTCATATAAGTCTTTACAATAATTTATCTAAAATAAACTAGAAGGTATATATATATACTCCTGAAAAACTACCAAATTTTTAGCTCACCATGACATCGTCAAGCTGAGCTATTGCCATGGGTCGTCGTCCGTCCGTCCGTCCGTCAACATTTGGCTACGGTCAACGATAACTCAGGAACCTTTTGACCCACATGTTTGAAATTGGGTATAGTTGTTACTGCTATGCTCCCATATTAAACGTCCTATTTTGGAGCACGCCAGTCGACGTACTTTCGATCCACGGCAATTTTTAGCTCATCTGACATAGTCAGATGCAGCTTGTAGAATCGCATGATTGTGCGTCCATCTGTCCGTCCGTCCGTCCGTCTGTCAACAGTTGGGCACAAATCTTAACCGCTCGACGTACGGTCACGATATTTGGCACATACCCGATCGTCAAAACGAGTTGGGATGTCGAAGCTGGGGGTCAAAGGTCAAAGGTCAATAGGTGTAAAAGAAGGGGGAACATTCACTCCTTAACAAGGCAGATTTATAGGCCATTTTCTGAGTGACATGTCTGACGGAGCGATTTGAAAAACTTTTTTGTTTCCAGCGGTGACCTAGCATTTTTATGGCGAATTTTGAAAGGAACGCATGAAATCTACTTTTCTGCTTGACATGCGAAAAGAGTAAGTGTTCAGTATAACCTTTTGACCCTCAAGAGGAGGGTTAAACATGGATTTGTTGACAGTCTATTAGAAAGAATTTGCCCCCCCTCCCGCCCCCCAAATATGGGAATTGCCATTAGTCAGCTTCAGCGTTCAACACGGATTTTGCTATTTTTGCATGGATATTGTGAATGAATAAGGGCTAGGCGGGTTTTTTGATATTTAAAAAAAAATTCTGCTAATTAGGTCGGTTTTTTTGGCATTATATAGCATATTATATAGACATCGCAGATAATCAAACAGTCATGTGGTGTCTACACTTCGTCTGCGTTCAGTTTCAAGATTTCATTGACAATATCTTTAATGCGAAAATTCACTGCTATGAACATATTTATGAGTTTATGACATATTATTATATTATTATTATTTATGATATAATGAATTTATGCTAAGAAACCATCCAAGCGGGGTATAGGCGCCATGCTTATCGTCACAAATTTGTGATTCATTATGGTTTATAAAATTATTTATAATTTATAATATTATTTATTATTTTCACATAAAAAATTACACATATAATTATCAAGAATATATAATGGGAGTTCTCCATATATACTCTTCGTTCTCTATAATGTACGTCGATGGTTGCTCGAATTAAAACTGACTTCTTCTCACTCACTCATTTGTGTCCTTTTTTTGTGGTGAGCTACAGTGTCATTGACACTTTCATTTCAAGGACTGTTTGTTGATCATGTGTCATATGAAATCACTCGTCTTGCTTAAATTTCAGATCCCAGCAAGCCTAGTAATTTCAGTGCTGCTGTGAATGACAGTGAACCCGGTGTTGTCACATTGACCTGGGAAACCACCAGAATGTCCGAATGTGTCATGAGCACTACTCCATATGCGGTCAAGTGAGTCTGGACAAGTGTGTGAGAAGGAAACTTCAAGAGCCGATAGCCGTATTAGTCAGATGGTGGCAGAAGAACCACTTAATTGTACTACACAACCACATGAAGAGGGAGCTGACACACACAGTGTCAGTGTGGATGGACTAGGAGCTTACACAAATTACACATTTTCCATCACTGCCACTAACGGTGGAGCACCAGGATTTGACACCAGCAATTCAACGGAATGCGTTGTGGAGACTCCACAAGATAGTAAGTTGATCATTTCTAGGATATTTAGCCATTAGATTAACATTGATTCCCTTCTTACTTCGGCAATGATACATTGACTGTTGAGGTTTTTTGCTGGTGGGCAAATGTGTCAACATAAACTCGTTTTCACATTGTTGTCTCCACTGTGATACTCTAAACATTTTCCCAGCATGTAAAAATGACCCAGCTGTTACCTGCCAAGTATTGTTAGATATTGCATGCTTGATGTTGGCAACCTAGTTGCTAATGATATTGTACTCACTTAAAATTGTACCACACATTAAGGGATTCACTGATAACGTTGTTTCCAACGATAAAAATTGATAGATGTTTGTCATGCAGCCTATAGTATTTTCATGAAAGTCTAATTACAATATTTCATGTGAAATAAACCAAAATATGTACTCTAGAAACTACCCGATTTCTCGTGGAGTGCTCAATTTCTTGATATATGTGTCATATGAAATAACTACCGTTGTTAAATTTCAGATCCCAGAGGCCTAGTAATTTCAGTGCTACTGTGAATGACAGTGAACCCGGGGTTGTCACATTGACCTGGAAACACCAGAATGTCCGAATGGTGTCATCGAGTACTACTCCATATGCTGTCAAGTGAGTCTGGACAAGTGTGTGAGAAGAAACTTCAAGAGCTGATAGCCGTATTAGTCAGATGGTGGCAGAAGGACAACTTGAATTGTTAACAACCACATGAAGAGGGAGCTTGACACACACAATGCAGTGTGGATGGACTAGGAGCTTAACACAAATTACACATTTTCCATCACTGCCACTAACGGTGGAGCACAGGATTTGACACAGCAAATTCAACGGAATGGTTGTGGAGACTCCACAAGATAGTAAGTTGATCATTTCTCGATATTTAGCCTTAGATTAACATTGATTCCTCTTCTTACTTGGCAATGCTTACATTGACTGTTGAGGTTTTTTGCTGGTGGGCAAATGTGTCAACATAAACTCGTTTTCACATTGTTGTCTCCATTGTGATACTCTAACATTTTCCCAGCATGTGAAATGACCCAGCTGTTACCTGCCGAGTATTGTTAGATATTGCATGCTTGATGTTGGCAACCTAGTTGCTAATGATATTGTACTCACTTAAAATTGTTCCACACATTAAGGGATTCACTGATAACGTTGTTTCCAATGATACAAATTGATAGATGTTTGTCATGCAGCCTATAGTATTTTCATGAAAGTCTAATTACAATATTTCATGTGAAATAAACCAAAATATGTACTCCTAGAAACTACCCGATTTTCTCGTGGAGTGCTCAATTTCTTAATCATGTGTCATATGAAATCACTAGCCTTGCTTAAATTTCAGATCCCAGCAAGCCTAGTAATTTCAGTGCTACTGTGAATGACAGTGAACCCGGGGTTGTCACATTGACCTGGGAAACACCAGAATGTCCGAATGGTGTCATTGAGTACTACTCCATATGCTGGTCAAGTGAGTCTGGACAAGTGTGTGAGAAGGAAACTTCAAGAGCCGATAGCCGTATTAGTCAGATGGTGGCAGAAGGACAACTTGAGTGTATTGAACAACCACATGAAGAGGGAGCTGACACACACAATGCCAGTGTGGATGGACTAGGAGCTTACACAAATTACACATTTTCCATCATGCCACTAACGTGGA